ATCCATGGAGAGTAATCAGTAAAGACGAAAAGGTTCAGAAATGTTCTTGATAACACAGTAGCCCCAGAATACTGTTAGGCCACGTCAATGATGCAAAATTCACGTAACCACACATGAACAAGGTGAAATATTAACGCTTATATCTGCTCACACATGAAATGAAGGCAGTCGGTGTAGATGTTGCCCAGCCTTTTTGTTCCATTGATCGGTGAAAAGCTCGAGTGATTCAAAACGGTGAAACTAGCAAGATAACTGACCTTATAGGAAAATGAGAATTCTTTGATAGTCGCTTGAGGATATCCATCTCATCGTCAAAACGAATGCGGGTAGACATTTGAGCTAAAAAAATCGAATATAGAAGACACATTAGCCATATACAGCAATAGTCAAAATAATTGTTGTGAAGGCGATAGCTACACAAAGTTGCTCTCAAGCCATAGTTTCTTTAAAGCAGTCTGATAATTAGCAATTTCGAATTTGCTGCAAAGATTCGTCCCAAATTGAACTTGAATTATAAGTAAATCAAGAAAAAACGACTTTCTGCAGCATCCATAATGGGGAATATCATTTTGATATTGTCAACTTCGATTATGTTATAGCTTGATAGCATATTTTGAGCCTTTCAGAGGCCTTATATGGTACTTAGACTATTAAAATTGAGTTTCACTTTTTATGTCAGGCATACTAGCAGCACGTGCCTTTCGGTCCAATAGATCCCTACATATAAGAGAATCAGCGTCGAACATCAGTTGGGTCAAAAGGCATGTGCAACTGATGAGTCTTGACATGAAACCGAAACGTACATCCAGCTTTACTAGTGTCATATCAGACTGAAAGGCTTGAAGTATGCTATCAGATTATATTGAATTTCAAGCGAGGTCTCAAAAACAGTCGAATAGAAAGGAATTATGGTTGCTGTAAATGTCATTAATAAGGCTGTTGATGGCATCTGATATTTTTGACACTTATTTTCACATCAATTTGTGATTTCCATTCTTCACATGAACACTTACAATAGGTCAACAGTTTACTTGTGTTCCTACTGTTTTGTTCATGGTTCTACTATTTCTCACAAAAATTCCTGCCGACCATTTTTTTTTACCACTCATCAGGGATTGGCAATACTATGAGAAACTAGTAGGAAATCTTCTGCATTGTATCTTAGGTGGAAAGTGATATTCATTTGAATACATTGGGTCTCAGAATACCTTAGCAAACTCTGTACACCTATTCGTTATTCTTGTCAACAGTAAAAAGCTTATAGAGTAGAGTTCTAGAACATGATCCTCCCTGAAGGTTGCTTTATGCATTCAACTTCATCAAGCATTGATAGAGTGACTGAATGCGTAACTGCGCTATACAATAAGTGTTTCATAAGAAGATTAAAAAGTGGAATACAAAAGCTAAAGCACAAAACGACGCCTGAAAATAGAATTCTGAAATGAATTGTGATTTTCACAGAAGAAATAGACAGGTATTTTCTTTGTAACTTTCATTACTTATGCTTCAATTCCTTTTCAGGGAAGTCACACTAAATGTGGCTCTATTATGTCAGATTGTTGTACTGAGCTAGAAAAAAACAAACCGAAACATTATGACGATCATTTTTGCAGATAAATTCTACTACAATGTTCTTGTGTTTTCGGATATTATAACATAGAAAAGAGCGTTATAACTTGTGGGTCATTCACTAGTTCCACTGGAAACGGTAGCATGAGTGTTGCAATTTCGAGGATTTGAGTGCAGTATATTGGTGGTTATAAAGTTCATGGACGATCTATAGGATAGAAATTAGTCTGAACCGATGGGTTGGATCTGGATGATCACCAGTTGTTCTAGTTGACATCGCGATTCTCCTTGCGTTAATTAACAAGTAATCATCTAATGTCAGAATGTTTCACATTAATTGTAGATACTCATGCGTTTTTCATTTACAATTATCACAGAGATTAACTATAATTACGCAAATGTTTCTTTTTGAGAAAAAACATAGAAAAGCCCAGGGCTGGCATTGCTTTCCAGCTTATACCTAATGCTTTGACAACTAGCCATAGACATAGACCAGGTCTAGATAGACCATCAACTCTTTATGTAAGCTGCAGCTTCCCGTTTCTTACTTGGTAGGATCGTTTTCTTGATAAGTTACTGACTTGTTTATTTTACTACATTACTTTTTCTTACAATGGTATAAGCGCATATTGGTGCATGCGGTCGTGATTTTTGGATGATGAGCCGTGGCATACTGTATTGATTTGTCAACATTAGTAAAGAATTCAGTATTCGAAATTCCTAGTATTTAACTGCATTTTGTCGTAGAGTTACGATGTTTCGTGGCCATTCTCAAGAGATTATGAATAATGGGTGAAAATATGACCTCAGACGGGATTCGAACCCCGCGTTTGATCCATGTCGGGGACGCGTGCTACCACTACGCCACCGAGGATTTTTGCTCACCACTCGATTCTCTTAGTAATTCGACATTTTTCATCCAAGAAAGATGCCAGTGGGTCATCCACCTAACTCTAAAGAGGTGAAAGAACAGGCAGCACAGTGAAATTTGATTGTTAGAAGTAGAATGCAAAGGAAGATATTACTATTATGTGCAAAGTCTTAGTTTAACAGTTTTCATTAATTCATATTAGTATGGTAAATTAGTGAAGCTATGACCAGCGGAAATTTCAGCAGGATCCAAACACTGTGTAGTATCCTTTGCAAGTACGTGAGAAACGCAAAACTGAAACAACTTCGCGATGGCCGTCTATTTGTACTCTGCTGTAAGCGATAGTAATTTTCATAACGTGAATTTCCCAATTAATTGATGAAACTAATATCACTCTGTCAAAAATATAGAGACTAAATTGTAAAAACTGTCATACTCAAGTCTGCAGAACTGTCATAATTCCTATGTTTTTACTGCTTTTTTTCGCATGTGTTATGATATTTTTAGACATACCTAAGAAAATTTAGTGCTAAGCAAAATTCGACCTTAGGCGGGAACTGAACCCGCGTTTCACCCACACTGGTAGTTCGTGCTCAGTTCTCTTAGGTATACGTAAAACTGTCAATTGCAGACAGCAAAGCGTTTGCGTGATGGATCACAGCATCACATAGTTAACGATTTCAATCATTCCAACAGTATCCACTAAGTTACAGGGCAGATCTCTTCTGAGTGTTATGAATGTTCAAAATCTAACAAGCCCTCTAGCTTGATAAGCTAGCCACCATCTATTATTGGAAAATTAGCAAGCCCTCAGAGGTTGAAAATTAAACGTCGCCCACTTTGCAGATATGCTAAACGCCGCGCATTGCGATGGGATTGTCTAATGGAGCCTATAGCAAACCTCCCAACGGAGTTTTGCTATCTTTTCGGGAATTACATGATAATTTAGGCAGCGCAAATGGTCTACGACCTTAGAGAGCAAGTGGTATCGCAGAGGCTCGAGGACCTTAGACAGAAATGGTCCAAGTGACAAGGGCGGCACCCAGCTGCCACCAACCTCAACAGTCAGTTCGATCGCGGGTCATCATCCGAACGGTCGTCTGACATCACCCGGACCACCTCACCTCAGTACATTGTCGATCCATTATTGCTCTCTCTAAACAACCTCGTTGTCTTGTAACTAATTACTTTCATAAGGTTGCATTCATACAACTCAGATGAATTCAATAGATTTGTGAGCGGAACATAGTACTTCCGTGGCGGAGCAAACTCACTTTGGCTATGCTCGGCCCATCACCGCGGTTTAGGGATTCTGCCCATATCTAATCACTAGCGACCCCACTGCTAACACTATATACTCACCCACTGGATCCCGCCGTCGGTGTTCTACTTGGGGGCGAACATAGTATTCCCAAATGGGCTCCGCCGCTTAGTCATGCTTCGACAATTACGAAACATCGTCAATTACAATAACATTGTCATCTGTCATAACAATGTCAAAAAGCAATAACAATGTCATATGCAATAACATGATCACTTGATAACATCATCACTTACAATAACACACCGTCAGCTACAATAACACCACTTGCCATAACACTGTCCTCGATACTCCTCATCAGTCGGTCACCCATATTGACTTACGCATATGTTCGCATAACGATATGTCGTGATCATATATATATATATTATTATTATTATCATTTTAGTAATGCATGTATATTATAGGTTGTTTTGGTATAAATCCATATAAAGGATTTAAACTCTTCTCTCTTGTCCGTTGCGAGACACAAATCGGCAGCGGATCACAACAACAAAAACCACTGAACCTTCACCACAGAGCCATTTAGAAAAGAAATCTATAACGTTACAATATTCTTCACTCAAAATATACCATTTGAGTTAGAGTGCGCATTTGGATCCAGAGACTAAACAAATGCAAGAGCTGCAAGTTGCATGTGAAAATTAGTGATTGCATGTGAAGATTTGAAGGATAGAAAACTTCTCGAGGATATCAGTTCTACCGCAGAACTTGTGAAACGTATATTTGTATATCATCTAAATTGTATGTTATAACAATTAGAGTCATTGCGATAAACGTTTTCGAGCACAGCCTTTAAACTGCAGCAAAAGGTGATGCAAGTAAGGGTCAATCACTGCACTTAAATGAACAAACTGTGTTGAAGCGCATTGATCGATGTCTACTCTGTAAGCATTTAGCCACCCTGAATAAGTCTCCTTAGGAATTTCACGTCTAATCGTACGAAAAAGTTGTTAAGATGTGTTTGATTGTCATTATTCAAATAGAGGCACTCTTATACTTGCTCGACGATTAGAGTGTGTGTGATGCACGTCCTCTTTAACAATCTTGCGTGACACCTGTAGGTGTGTCGTAATCGTTCCTGTGGCTCTCTTTGCACAGAAGCTGCTTTTGAAATTCTTGCAGTCAATAGTTGGTTTATCAAACACAGATACTGTAGTAGGTGTCATTTGAAAATAGGATCTCTTGGTAACAAATTTTCTATATTCCCAAGAGAACTGAGCGGTAAGCAAAAAACACGTCCTCAGACGGAGTTGAACCCGCATTGCATCCACATCAGGGACGCGTGCTACCACTACACCACAGAGGTACATTTGCGCAACCACTCATTCTTTGAATTTTTTCATCTAATTTTTTTAAAATTTCTATTACTTTGTAACTTTCAACGAGAGATAATTGCTGCCGCCAGAGAGTGAAACCACTGAAGAAGCGTAAAAATGTTTTTGCCTTCATGAAATAGCATTGCATGCGATGTATGGCATCATTTTTGATAAATGATTTGCTGTTTCTAGTTTCAGATCGGTGTGATGATTTTGGGCATTGTTTGAATGAGAGCACATAGAAGCTACAAGGTAAACACTGTGACAATCGCTGCATAACATATGCAACTCTATTGAATGCTGAAAGCATGATTGTGCAGTCGGGATTATCTCCTACACATGCACAAGAGTGCACGTGCAATCAAAGACATGGACGGGTGTATTTAGAATGATATAGACCATATATGCAATAAGAGAGGCACAGAACAATTTGTACAATGTGCAGAAATACCGATTGTGAGAGCGCAAATTACATCAAAAGGTGTCCGTCGGGCTGTATAGCTACATAAGAGACCATCAGGAGGGTACAGAGTGATATCCTAGGTCTCAGAACAGGCAGAGTAAAAAAATCAGGTCACCCTGGAACAGTGCCCAAATCAAACGTCGCTGTGAGAGCCCTTCGTCTTCTAGCCAATCCTCTAGGGGTGCTCCAGTCTCCACACCAAGTGTAGGCGACGATGAATGATTTGCACTGCCGTCAAGTGAAAACTAGATCAGCAGTATTGTACACTCGATTGCTCTCCGGCTGGTCTTTTGGACTATATTATACCTTCCGTTTCAAGTGTTTTCTCAAAACCACGCTCAAGTTTCAACATTTCTCATAATTGCTATTTGAGCCAACTTGTCATGTGGTCTGTTAATGGGCTCTTCTTGTGGCTTTTCTTGTGGCTCAAATAGCAATTATGAGATATGTTATCTGTAGATTATTAACTAAACAAAATAGTTTTTCGTAAGGCCACTCCTGACAAAATGTTCGCTGGGCAAGCTTTCGATTCGTTGAAAAATGGAGAAGAAATTTTTCCATAGCAATACAAGCCATTAGAATGTAACTAAATTGGGTGCGATAACACTTTGTCCACTCTGTTCCAACGATCATGGCTTACCGAGCATATCGGGTGTTTCTGTTACCTCTGATCGCTGATTTTGGCATCAAGATGAAAACAGAAATAAATTACAAAAAAGTATTGAAAATTTCGAGACATCTCGCAATATAGAACTCATAATGAAACAATGCGGATAAGGGAACTTAGTGGTCAGAAGTGTCGTATTCTTTGACGTTTGTTCTACACTGCTTTTGCATCTAATTTACGCGATAATGAAGAGCAAATGCACCAGTGCAAGACTCTGTGTTCGAAAATGACGAATGCAAAAAAGTGAATCAAATGGAGGAAGTGTTGAAATCCATGCAATAACACGAACAAATCAGAGGATTTTAACATTGTATATACCGTACAGTTGTTTACAATAGTTGCTCCCCCTAACACTTTTGTGACGACACCTAATTCTCTTAGCGTTTCCGTAGGGCAGAGGAATATTGAGGATCTGCTGGTTTCTCGACAGTAAACAGTAGTTTTTCGATAATTAGACGATTAGTGCGATTGTGAACATAGTAGAATTATGCAAAAAGTCTTGACTGAAAAAAGATCTGACCTATTTTCCATGAGTATCATCATTTTATATGACGCTATTCACTATGTGATTGTATCCTTCATCGCGGAAAAACATTGCTGTCAAGATTCGGATGCGTTTTGCAAGTTGTGCGACCCAAATAATAACTTTGATTCATAGTAGCAAAACGAATCAAAAGAGCAATCGACTACTACTTCTGTGATCAGTGTACTTGTTCAAAAGCAATTTTTCGTATACTACTTCTCCAAAGTGGATACTAGAATGTTTACCTACCATTACCCAAAGCTCAACATTTACCTTGAATAGGCCATCGATTGATTACAAGAAGTATAGAAAATTTTCTACTGAGCAAAATGCGCTACCGTATAAAACGTCCTCTACAGAGGTTATGCGGGTCAGCAAGCTTTATCTTCAGATTGAAATCTTTCAATCTACATAATATTGCCGTTAGGTAAAAGTTTACTTTTCTGTCAACGTGAATTCTAGATAACCGCAATTGTTTGTTTTTGCTTCATTGTTGTCTGCTTTTTTATGAGGCGGAGTCGCCAAATAGGCCGGATATTGCTCAACACACGAGAGTGTCACCATATGATCGCTAATGGGAGTTGTTGAAAGAACTGTGCTGGAGATTTTCAAAAAGTTTCTCTTTGTATTTCAGGATGATACCCTAAACTTTGTGAGAATCTGTGTCGATCACACAAATAGAGTAATAAAGCAAAAACTCTTCACCTTAAGTGCTCCTTCCACTCAAAAATCAGTATAGTCAAAAATTATGATGATTACGCTAAAAGTCAATACCATTCTTAACTTTGCATAGTAAATTTTGAAGCCCATGTGACGCAGTGGTTAGAGGTGCTCCGAGTCCTATACTCGGTCGATGGATGGATTTCGCGCCCATGGCTCACCAAGCCTTCCATGCCTCCGAAGTCGGTGAATTGCTGCCAGACTTGTTTGGGAGGATAAGCACATGACTTGATACATCGATAGGCCAACGCAAATTATTGTAAAGGCCAGACAACACAGACAACCATCTCAAACGAGCTAAAAACAGAAGACGAATGCATGGAGCAGCTCTTAGGAATTGGTCGACGCCGAAAACTTTCATTCTTTTCTAATAAATTTTGAAAGGGGGCTAGAGCAATGAAATAATGAATGGTCATGTTAAAAAAGGGGATATAAGTAATAGAATCTGGATAAAATGCATCCAGTTCTCAGCCCGTCAGAGAAACTTCGCGTCGAAAATTTGAACTAGTCTTCATGTGAAGAAAAGCATGATTAAGATAAGAATGGGAAGTGAGTTATATTACTTGCCACCAGCTCCAATCTTTAGTATTCTTTGGCGAAAGAAGAAATTATTTAATGGGACCCAATCCTATTTGAATATTCGACGTAATCGTTGAAATTTTCGTGTGACGTGAGTTTCTATTCAGCCTCCATGTCAAATGCGGCGATATATTCTATGTCAAACTGGAGTTTAGACATGAAATATTTAGCGCGATTGTATCATGCCTAGTAGTCTCGAAATGGCCAAATAGTCCATGCATTTGGTGTAATACGTGAGGTCCACGTCGCCATCTAACAAATATGCGATTGCATGCATTGATTTCAAAATGCATAATAGAGTTTCTGGACGCTTGTTTACTCTGCTGTGAAAATTTTCCGTCATATATATTTGCATTTGATCGATAGCTTATGTAAAAACAGATGTTATGTCAAATGAGTATTGTGAACCATTTCTAAAATTTCGCGTTTTCCAGAATTCGGCTGTTCGGACGTAATTTTTCGGATCCTTTAAATCCCGAGATAGAAGTTTGCTTGTCTGCAATTCTGACAGCAACACAGATCCTTTATTCTTAGTTTCACAACATTTCATTAGTGTTGCGAGCGTTGTGCTTGAGAACATCTATATTAAACATCACAACTACTTCTCAAAGCGTAGGTAGTGCAAACGGTTTAGCATGCGCTCCTGGATAGGGTGAAATGTGAGTTCGAATCCCAACAGACGCAAATGTTTTTCACATCACTCTTTATCATTGAGCACTTCAAACTCTCATTTAAGATACCCTTTACTACTGCTCGTGGAGAGCTTCCAACGTTTAGCACTCTAATAGATGATCTTCTTAAGCTCTTCCTCAGCTAAGGATGTATCAGTGTACAAATTTATCACTTGAAAAAAAAAATTTCCTTGATCCAGCTGCTTGTTCACAAAGCTAAGTGATTCGTCTCAGGCAAACTTTTCGTTCCCGTTTCGTCATGTGCTATGATCTGGCCACCACCTTTGCATGATATGAATACATGTTTGCACGTGTAATATGACGTATCTTGATGGAATGAGATTACCATGAAGAGCATGACGGATTTATCAGTATATACCTAGTTGACTAGTCTATACAGGCTACTGCAGTCCTCATTGACAAGACTAACGTGTCGACTGGCCATGAACAAGTTCTCCTTGTAGCCTTCCAGATCTGCAAGTCGTCATCGCTTTGGCACATGAGGATCAGCAACAAAAATTGAACACGCAATCCAAAGACTGCGATCGCCGGATTGTGAACAAGTTTCGTTCCAAGAATGATGCCTTCAACGAACTTCTAGTATTCCCCTTAAGTTGGATCCTATTGTGAAAGGTCCCAAAATATTGGCCATAATCAATGCATGAGAATATATTGCTTCTATGCATCCATACAAATGCTGGTAGTTCACTCCAAGCTCACAGCTTTGAAATTCTGCCATTCAGTAGGCACCGCCATTGCTTGACCACTCACAGTGCACACTACCATTACTTTCGTCCCTAATCTTTAATTTACTTTTCGAGGACTCTTCAGTGGCAACCCAAACGGTTTCTCATTCTCTGTCTTCAATGAGCCATTAGTCGAAAATGAACTTCTGCTAATTGGACTGTTGTGACTGATGGACTATTGAAATCAATGAGTGGGATTGGTCTACAAATAATGTGCATCCAAGCTTCGAATTCATTTTTGATCCGCATTTGGTCGTTGATTTATTTCCAATCGTAGGAAGTTGACGAGTATGCGGTCAGCAAGTTAATCCTGCAATATGATACTCGTCGTCGTTGAAACAATCGTTCCTAAGGTCAAGAATCAATCCATCTTTCCTAGTCAACAAATTGGTGCCAGAGGAGAATAGGACTAACCTGACACATTGGTACACCAGTGTGTCATTGAATGTAGCATTTATTGAGTAGAGTTTTCAATAGGCCAGATATGCATCCAATCAACTCTAACGATGACTAATGGAATGGAATGCATGCAGCATCCGCTAAGGACTGATCAGCGCTGAAGGATTTTCCCTTTTTATTGGATCGACGTACAGACGGTGAATGATTTAGTGATATATATGT